TTTGCTATTTTATGTTTACATTAATACCAGTACCAGATACAGAATTTTGAGTTTTATTTTATTTATTACTATTTGGTTAGATTTTCTTTATTTAAAAATAAATCAGTAATTGATATTGTTAGAAACTATGTGCGCATGAGCGTGTGCGTGTGCATGGATATTTTATCAAAAATGATAACCCCTTTCACGAAAAAGAGAAAAAATGCAATATGAAAGCCCTAATTAATACAAATGAACAACAAAATAACACTACCTGTTTAATAGTAAAAAAGATTAGATGAACTGGCGGATCAAAGAATGAATGAATAAACTAAAATGATAAAAAATAAATGAAATTTAAAATATTTTAATACTACTGTTCCAAGTGACTACCTCAGCAAATGAACAACACACACAAAAAATGCCATTTATTTTCGGAGACAATATTAAGACCGTTAATGATGTAAAAAGAGCGTGCAACATAAATTAATAATATTTGACTTAAATTTATAAATCTTTCAGGTAATATACATAGATCATTCCAAAGCTTCCAATTTATTCTCTTGGGTTAACCGTTCCCCCGTGGACAGATCTGAGGCTGACTGGGGTGAAGATTTGGAAAATGTTTGCGGGCATGTGGTACAGGACTGCGTAGCTATGGTGAAATATGGCCACAAGTGGACAACATGCGATTGTGGTAGACATTTCTATTACGTTTGTCAACGATAATGAATAATGAATAAAACAATAAGAAGAAGTTATAATTGTAATTTTCATTTTTATAAAACTTTAATCATGAGAAAAACGGATTAATTTGACATCTTCATATATTAGGCAGATACATGTACTCAGTGTCGATAAAGACACAAGAAAAAACAAGTGAGGAAGATAAATTCGATCAAATGTATAAGTAAATAAAAATAAAATAGCAGACTCCGGCATACAGTATGCCTGCTAAACAAAACAAAAAACATAAAAAAACGTAAAAACAAAGTAAAAACAACAATAAAAAACAACAACAACAGGAGACGAAAACCGCGTGCATATACATTGTCAAAAATATTCAATTTTAATATGGATTGGATAATACATTATTTAGAATACCCCCAAAAGAGAATTGAGTCTAAATGCAAAAGTCTTTCTTCTCTAACCCGATCACGATTATAAGTACATGCACTTTAAAACCTTATTTTATTTGCATCGTAATTCCGTAGTTTTGTGATAACATTTAAAATCACTGAAACACTGCAATATATGTTGTACCTTAACGTCACGTTTTAATATACATATTAATATAATTATGCTTCATTTATATACAAAATTATATCAATGTAATATCAATACATATATAGGTATATTATCGGAGGAACCTTTGACAAAAGAGGATTTCGTTAAGTACTTTTGTCAAATAAACTTGACAGATTATTGACAATCATAGTTTGTGTGCGTATGGGCGAGCATGTACTTTATTTACAAAGCTACTATTTATTGGGAGCTGATATTTGTTTATTTTATATTTATGTCGGTACATGTGTTTATGTTTGTGCCATAATTCCCGTATCAAGGTCGTTTCTGTCCATGCACAGTGGCATTTGGAATAACATGGGAAAAGTAAGTAAAATACAATTAAGATGTCCTGTAATTGAAATAGACAAATGGGAATGATTGTTTAGAAAGTCACTAAGCCTTTTTAGATGTTAAACTTCCACTTAGGCCCTATGTAATACATAATTATTTTACTTGTTTGTGTCTTGGGCGTGAAGGATGTTGCACTTATTCATTATCCCTCATGTACAGACTCAATCAAACCGAGTCTGCAGTTTTCATCTAATTTTGTTGTGATTAATGCTTCCGAGGGATCACTTTGTTTCCAGATTTTTATACTTCACAACAGCAGGTGTCAAGTGCCGTGTGGCAGCTGTAAAAAGTTGCCCCGTACTTCACTTCAGTATTGTTGTATTTTTCTGGTCCTTCGGAATCATTGATGCCAAAACTATTAAGTATTGAGAATTGAGTACCACTAAAGCCGGTGCTAGGGGGCGTGAGGGATGTTGCACTTATTCATTTTCCCTCATGTACAGACTCAATCAAACCTAGTCTGCAATTTTCATCTAATTTTGTTGAGATTAATGCTTCCGAGGGATCACTTTGTTTTCAGATTTTTTTGTGTTATTTGGTCATGTGCACTGTAAAAGCCATATGGTAACTTTCAAAGTAAGACAGCTGTAGCTCCGTGCATGATTCCAGGCATAAGCTGGCCGATTTTAAAAGGCCAGTCTCGGAAGGACTGGGAATCCGAGCCTATATACAATTCTAAACAGTTCGCTAATAATAGAATGCGGGAGACCTTAACTAAATCCGCTGGTCATAAATATACATGCACAGTGTTAAAATATGTAAACTTTAAAAAATAGACTTTTGCTTGAGAACGAATTTACATGTTTTTGACTTTTTAAATAATTTTAGTCAGTATCAGCTGCATATAAAAAACTTTTCACTTAACAAGATACAAACATGTATACACATAGTAATTGTAATAAAATAGTTCCAGCGTTCATTTTCTACATAATCTTACCTTTTAGGTATCTTTGAGGTCGCAGTTTTATATTGAATTCGGATGACGTATTCAGTGCTCACTCAATTTTTTCTCATCAGCTTGTCAGAGAGAGATCATTTTACATTCTTTATTATGTATATTTTTACACTTCTTTATGTCATGCTTTCCAGTGTTTTATTGTAATATATCAGATGATTATATTCTGATAAACCACTATTGAAATTTAAGAAAAATAATTTTCACTGTAGCCGGACTATATCTGAATGCGCATTAAAAGAATATCATAACTAAATGGAATAACAGGTAAAAATAAATGCCGTCAAATGTGACGCCATGTTGTGATGATATGTCTTTAAGGAGAATGCGCGACGTTATGCGGCAAAATCAGTAAAAATACTTAAAATCACCTTAAAAGAATGAAATAATAAGAAAATTTATATAAGATTGAAATATATCATTCGTGAAAACTAGCTTTTCTACTTTCACACGTGGTTATGCCACTCGTGAAAATATTACATCTGATGTTCCCTCAGTGATATATATTTATCTATATTTATATATATCTTACATGCATAACAAACAAATATTCTCTATGTCTTTAACATAATAATAATAATAATAATAATAATAATAATAATAACTTTATTTTGAGAAGGTGACATATTAAGAGTACATAATAAACATACAACTTATTTTCAATATGGCCTTCTATACATAAATAAACAGAAAATAGAAATAACAATTGCTAACATTATTGTTATCAAAATAACAATCTTACTGAAAATGATGATGATGATGTCGATGAAGACCATGATGACGACGCTGTATGCTGATGACGATGATGATAATGATGATGATGATGATGGTAACGGTGATGATTATGATAATCATGACGCTGATGATGAACCAATTATTAGGATGGTGATATTGATGATGATCAGATGATGATGACGTTGATGATGATGATGATGTAGATGATGATGATGACGACGACGTAATTGTTGTTGTTGTTGATGACGATGTTGATGATGATCATGATGATCATGACGCTGATGATGAACTTATTAATAAGATGGTGATATTGATGATGATCAGCTGATGATGACGTTGTTGATGATGACGTTGTTGATGATGATGACGTAAAAGATGATGATGATAAAAAGGTTTAAATTAAAGCGAATGATAAAAGGTCACTAATAATGAGCATTTAAATTATTTTATCAAACAACGATCACTCTATGTATATATTCAATCGCTAAAAAGCTGTGTCAAGTGTCTTATGATTTATAGTGTCATTATTGTAAAATTTAAACAGTCTTATCAGTCATGAGTCACTATAGTAAGTAAATTGTCATGTCTAATTTTAGAATTATTATGCTATTAATATATATCAAGTCATACTTATTTTATTCATTGGTACGACGCTCGACTTATGAAAAATCAGGGGCGGTAACTGAAGTCACATTTCGGAATTCACTGTGAAACTTTTTACTTTCTTTATCATATTCAATAAGTGTAGAATTTGTGTTTTGAAAATAAAATAAAAGAAATAAAGAGAAAAAGAAACTAGCTAAATTGATTTAAACTAGTCCAATTTAATATGGCGTTTACTTCGATTCAATGGTTTTGTTTTCCGGTTTTAACACATGAACTATTAATATTGATTCCAAGAAATGGCCCGGATGGTTAAAATATAAGGAAAGGGAGATCACTCTAAAATATACTGATAGCAGGCGTAAATTACGTAAACAATTTGATAAAAAGGAAGGCACCGTTCGTTACGTTAAAATTAACTAAGGTGTAAACAAAGATATATTATTATCTCAGTTTTAAATATGGATAACGAAACGGAAAGTCAGAATTTAAATGAAACAGCGAGCACGGAACTAGGTATTGTATATTACGGACATATAAAAAATAGAAAAAAAAAGTTTAATCTATTTATTGTTTATTTATATTTAGTCACGAGCGTTTATTCATAGTTGCAGTTACCATGTATGTACATGTGCACGTTTTTCTTGTGATTTTAAATGCGATACTTTTTGTGGTACTTTATACTTCAAATTATGATAAATAAATAAATAAATAAATAAATAAATAGATAAATAAATAAACCCTTTTTATCATATTCTTACATTGGATCTACTTTTTAGATAAAGTTATTTCTTTTTTTTCTTTATTATATTTCAAAATAAAGAAACGTAAAATATGTTTCTGAAACATTAGGTTTTTTTTCAAGACTTTGTTATCTTAGTAAACTAGGTATTCCGTATTTTTATGTTGTACATTGTACTTACACATGCGGAGCGAAGTTTTACGAATTGCGGTACACTTTCTATTTACTTATTTTGATAATTGTTGTCCTTTTATTTTCATTTTTCTGCAAAATATTGTTTTATTACATTACATTACATGATATGATTTATACTTGAATTATTTTTCAATAGAAATTGATTATGAAAAATATTGAATTCGTGTATAAACATTTCCAAAATCCAAATCCAAATCCATGCTAATTTTTATTAAAATATTTTTAAATGTTTTTAAAAGTAAAATTTTGTGAAATGAAGAAAGAAAGTAATTTGTACGTTGACAATGGCACTTGCAAACCATAAAAAATACCAAAAAAAGAGAGGTAAATATATGCAAAGAGAGCTCTTACTGTGTTAGTCACGCAGTAGAAATATGGCGAAAAATACTGCAAAATCAGTCATTCGCACACAACATGTAAATTTTTGCACATGAATCTTGAATCTTTTTATCTTTTTTAAAATCATTTTTCTAAAGTATAATTTTCTTGAAATATTTTGACTCATCTGGAGCATTTGAATATTTGTCATTACAATCATTAGTCGCGTAAATATATTTTACTGTTTTGATTTTATTTATTATCCAGCAGATGCGAATGTTGTTGAAAGTGGATCTCGTATGTTGAGGTGGTTTACAAAATTAAAAACCGACAAAGATTTCAGGATAAAAATCATCAAAACTCTGTTGCTTTTTTGGACCTTTGTTGGATTGGTAAGCATTTGTTCCTGTTTGGTTTTCCTTTATATTATTTTTACTACCTTTGATAGTAAAGTAAAAGATTTAAGTACGTTTAAGAAACAACAAAAATACCCAAAACGACAACAACCGGAATGAATATTATGCTAGTTTTAATTTAAATCTGCATTCCTTAAGCTAGCACCTGAATAGGGCATTTGATTCAAACAAACTAAAAGAAACATGATGCCCCTAAAGTGAACACTAACAAATAAAACATCACCACCACAAAAAAACAACAACAAAAACAACAACATTCTCTACCTCCAACCTCCTTAAAACCCTGAACGGCAACAACAACGGCAACAACAACAACAGCAGTAGCTTCATCACTCTGTTCCCTAAAAACCTAAACGACAATAAAAACAAAAACAAAACAACAACAACAAAACAACCGACACAAAGCAACAAGCACAACAAACAACAAATACACAAAAACATGAAAGGGGGTATTATTTTGTCATCTGGCAAACGTCATAATTTTATAAGCAATTGATTTGTGCTTGATTGATATTAAGACCCGATGTTAATTAAATCATGAAGCCTATCGGACTATCTTATCGCGCCACTGATCATTGATAATGCTTATGGTATGTCTTTTGTTTTTTTCTTCTTTCAAAATAAAGCTATCTATATCTGACGACGTCCAAATTTTAAACACGTAACTGGTTTCGGTTTCGAAAGTTTCTGAGTTTCTATTTACTTGGCATGAATACAAGTATTTATTTGTTTTACATATATATATATATATCATATAGGTCAACGTTACTATCTCTAGGTATGCATATTTGTGGTAACATCAAATCTGACATAAAAGTGTTTGATAAAAATATATGAACAAAACAGTCAAATGATGATGATAATAATAAACGGAAAAACAACAAAAAAACCAAACAAAACAAACATGAAATAAAAACAAAACAATACACACATACAATGTACATTTTTCCATTGTCATTAACTGATAATACTTCTTGAACCATGCTAATAAATAACATGTACGTGGACCAAAGTTATATCTTAGTTTAGATGTTGCAAAGTTAGAGGTCCAAGTCACTTGACATTCGTATTTTATTTGTACGTGGCTTTTATTGGTGAGAATAAAAAAAACACTTGGAATAAGTAACAAATTCTTAATTAAGTCACCCCGATTTAATGAAAGTAACTGAGTTAATTGGTATTGACAATACCGAGTGGTAATCTACGGATCGCTGGCCGCATTTTTTCAAACACATCAGGGAAAAGCCGTTATTTCCTTAAGCAAGGCACAGACAAAAGATTAAAAGAGTGTGTATGATGTATTTTTAATCAACTCGAATTTTTTTATGATATATTATTATAATTATTCTTATTTCAGGGATGGATGACCGGTCAAATAGGACCGTCGTTTCCGGATTTACAGCTAGTTGTCCAAGAAACGCTGGATACAGCGTCATGGCTGTTTACCATCTATTCTTTTGGATACATGACCGGCTCTCTTGGCGGAGGTAAAAAAAGAAATGCTAAAATTTTTAACAACTCGTATTAACTCGGCCAATTTTGTGATTTCGGTAAACAATATTCTTGTGATTTACTTGTTTTTTTTCTATACATAAACACATGTTTTCTTAAGCTAAACAATTCTGAATTTTAACGTCTTTACAAAAGCAATCGTTCCCTATATTAAGTAAATGAATAATGCTATTTTTCCCTTATTATTTTTAATTTTCATACTTTTTTTTACTTTTTTGATTTTTATGATTTTTAGTTTGTAAAAGGAAAAGCATAATTTTTTTCATTAAAATTTTAATTTCATTAAATTTGTCTCAAAAAATAACTTTTAAATTCTCGCTCTAGGGGTTTAGCTTTATATTAAGCTTACCTATACTCATTAATTTTAAGTCTATAAAATTGGCTACACATGCAAGATTCAACAAACAATTTTTATATGGAAAGAATATAGAGTCTAATATTGCCTCACCACTTGTCAAATAAACGGTTATTTAATATTCACGAGGCACGGACAGTGACGGAAAGTGACGAAAAGTGCCGATATATAAGATATTGTGTGAACATAATATATAATACGTACACTAAGTATCTAGATAATGTATGTTTGATAATGAAGAAAAATGTGCAAATGTGCAAATTTGATGATCTTAAATATTGATATCAAAATCAAGATAAAAATTGATAATACACCACAAATTGTAATGATAGTAAATGATCATTTGATAAACTAAAATTATTAATACTTTAAAGTATTTAAAATTAAACGATTTCTCCGTATGAGGACGATAAAGAAATACCTTGGAAAGGAAGTTAAATATAAGTAACACAAAGGGCGATAAGTTTCTTACTAAAGATAACATAAGCAAGTCGCTTGCGTGATCAAATGTATCTGCTTATCTTATTGTTCGCTTTTTTTCCCCACAAAGAAGAAAACACTTGTTCCCGACATAAAAATTTTTTCCCCCCGGTCAAAAATTTTAACATTCCTTTTCCCCTAGATATTTACATAGACCCGTTTGGTCAAAAGTTTTTGCGACGTAAGGTAAAACATAAAAATTTAAGGAAGAAAATATCACAAAGAAAAAAACCCCCATCACGCCCTAAAAAACGCACAGTTTTAATTTTCCCCCTATAAATCTTGTATTAATACCGTTTTGGTATTGTCCAATCTCTGTATTTGTAATACACAGTAGATGATTGTATTTGGTCTGATCGCTTTATAAAGATATGACACAATATTACGATATGTTCAAAGAGTATGATTTTAAAGATATTAATATCATGCCTTACACACACACTTTCATTACACTTACATCTTACACTACCCGGGGAATAAAACAATAACGTATAGATAACAGAGCTAAAAGGGCTGTTGCAAGTGTCGACGGGTTTTAAATAATATTACATCCACGGTGTCTTCAGCGATCTGTCAAAAAGCAAAGTGACTCCCTGAGCGGGTTGAAGAGCTGATATTGTGAAAATCAGAATAAGTGAAGTTGTAATCGAAAATTCAGATGAAGTTGAAAGTTTGTGTACGTGAAATAACGATCTTTTGTGAAGCTGTGACCGCGAAACATTAAATAATTTCGTAAATTATTACGGGATATATTTGAACAAGTTCATAGCTTGAGATATTATATAATATATCATATACTCGTCTGGAAGAATGTCTTATAATGCGTTTCCAGCTGCATCATCATCATCGTCATCAGCATCAGCATCATCATCATCGTCATCAACGTTAACAACAACAAAAATCATCATCAACAACAAATGGAAAAACAAGAGAACCATATTGTACAAATGCAAAGAACTGAACCCATATGAATGACATAATAATAAAGAATAACATTAATAAAAATCAACCTGCTCTTTAAAGATAATTTGTGATACACGGATAATTTATTAACATTTGCGCGGTAAAATGAAACATAGATTAAATTTAATTTATTGAACCCATTGACTTATCTAACCGGGTACAGTTAATTTATATTGCAGGGTTATTGTTCGACCACTTTAGCAAACCACTCGTGATTGCACTAGCTACTTTGATTCTGGCAGTTACTACAGTATCTCTACCTTGGTGTAGATGGTTCACATTGATGCTTGTAGTAAGATTCGTCTCGGGACTTGGTGCAGGTGCACTCGACACAGGTAAGTTATTAAAGTTATTTCATTATCTGTTATTACAGTACACTTAGTATGTTAAGATTTTCTGTTTCCTTTTTTACATTGAACAAAGGCTTTAAACATAACTTATATAAAGATTTAGAAAAAGCACCGAATTGTTTCGAGTTGACCACTTTGAGTATACAAGGTAGAAAACTATAGATACTCAAGTGTTTCAAGCTTTTCTTACTTCGCTCATCGCGTTTGTTAATTCTGCTGAATTGAGATACATTCTAGTACCTACCATTGATTTACATTCTACCGAAAATATGAACTTATTTAACAGGTAGGTTTCTTTTCATTTAGCGCTTCGTAGCAAAACATAGTAAATTATATGTTCCTGTGCCTGACATTTTTTGATCAAGAATATGTATGTATATTTTGTATCTTTAAAGGTGCAAATGCCTACGTGATGTCTTTTTGGGGTGAAAAGGCTGGTCCTTACATGCAAGGACTACATTTTTGTTTCTCCATGGGTGGAATAGTTTCACCATTGGCAACCGAACCATTTTTAGCTGAACGATCTTGTCATTATCTTAACTTCACAGGTATTCCTTATTTTGTGCATCGTCATTACATGTATATTTTGTAATTGATTTTTTATGTCAGACTCTTTCATACGTATTTAAAGTTTATTTCTATGAAATCTTTAAAGGTAACACAAATTATGCATCGGACTTGTTGTCACTGTTGTGGATGTGTTCAAGTTGAAATAAAACCATATCAAAAAATTTATATAAAACAGTTTAAAGCCTCGTTAATTAACATTGTCTATTTTCTATACTTAAACATGTTTATTATTTTTTTCAGAGTCTAAGGTCAACCAATCACATGCAAACTTGACTTTAACGGAAGACGTGTCAAATAATGCTACTGGAAATGAATGTCAAACTACGGAGTTTGGAGAGACACATATTCACCTGGCCTACATTATTTCATCTGTCGTATAATAATTACAAGCTCCATTCCCATTTTTCGTCATATATGTTCGTGAAATATTAAAAACTTCCAAACTCCAACCAAGAAGTAACATCAGAGCAACCTGACGAAAAAGAAGTGGCTGAACAACGGATACAAATCATCATGTCGAAAAGAGCGCGAATTCTTATATTATTTTTGATATGCCTCTTTATGATGGTTTATTGTGCCGTGGAAGACACGTTTTCAAGTTTTCCTTGCCACTTTCTGTATCCGTTACTTCGGCTGGACAAAAGCCACAAGTAGCTATGCGACAAGTGTCTTCTGATGGCTTTTGCAGTTGGTAGATTCCTGGCAATATTCATCGTGAAAATGTTTAAGCCCGTCAATCTTCTATTGTCATACAGCTCTTTTCTGATACTTGCTTTCGTAGGCGTCTTAATAGCGTGTCTAACATCAATTACAATAATACTATGGGTTTCTATATGCATTGCTGGGTTTTCTATGTCTCTCATTTTCCCGAGTGTATACTCGTGGACAGAGGAAAGTATTCTCCAGGTAACAGGGAAAATCTCATCATTCTTTGTTATAGCTGGCTCTATCGGACTGATTATTAATCCAGTAGTGTTAGGATACCTCATGGAGAAAATGACACCCCTTTGGTTTGTTTATCTCCTGTTAGGGAAAAGCTGTTTCTCTTTAATATTGCTCTTTGTTGTACTGACACTTGTTAACTTCTTTAAAGAATCTGAAACGGTAGATGCGGACGATGGGACGGAAATGGTTCCCCTTCAAAACTTGCAGCAGTAGTGGATTAAACATGACTTATTAAATAATAAGACTACGTTACTACTGAATATGACAGTTTCTATGATTTACTACAGACTCAATCAAAATGCTTTCGAGAGATCACCCCTTTTCATATGTTTATCAGTTAAATAAACTACTTGTTTATGCATGTATATATTTCAAGTAGAAAGTTTGTTTATGTATCTATCCTTGTTTTTACACGGTTTTCATACATGTATGTGCTGTGTTGATATAAATAAAGTGACTGGCTATACACTGAACAAAAGTTCTAACCGATCACCCTGAGTTTTCGCTTATATATGAAAAAGAATAATACCAATAGATCCGACTTTTATTTTATTTCGAAGAGAATGAACACATTGAGAATAATAAAATATAACATTTTTCTATTTAAATAAAACTTTATCGATATTTAAATTTTTTTTTTTATGAACAGCCACTCACCTGTCTGATAGAGGCTCCAGCATTCAACATTTCAACTGCTACGGCATGATCCTGCATCAACATTCGTGCCATGTGTTATGTTTTTCACTTATAAAGTTAACAAGGATTTATGCAATGTAAAATTTAATACTCACCATGCTCTGTACGAACATTTCGTGCCAAAATGTGTAAACCGCGCCCTGTCTCCCGCGTGAGTGCATGGAACCGTATTAAATTATTTTTCATTCTACAAATCGGTTGAAAATGACACAAAAATCACTTCTGCAAAATTTTATAAGGATCTATTGACCCGTTATAAAATAATCAAAATTTAAAAAGTGATCGGTTAGAACTTTTGTTAAGTGTAGTGTAAATTGTATCATACAAGGTCTTCAAGAGTAATAGTCTGTTACATCTTATAATTTGATTTCCTTCAATTTTGTTAAGGCTTACAAAAACGACATTGCCATTTTTATTGAACTTTATTCAGATCGCTTAGGAAAATTTGTATTTATATTTTTTCAAGGGAAAACAATCTTTTTTTTTATTTTTATGATTTAGTGTTTTATATTTTGAAACTGATACAAATATTGTTGTCATTTATTTCCATGATACTAAGCAAACTTCCTTGTTTGTATTTACAAATGGGATAAAAGTCTGAATGCAGTTTAATAAAAACAATAAGAGTATTGGGTTAAATACTTGTAAGGGACATGGCACGGGTTCTTTTGAGTAAACGCCGAGTTAACCTGGGATTTCTATGGGAATATTTAATCGATGAAATGTAATTTATTCTATTGTCTATATTTATAGTTTTGTAAGAAGCATCACGTATTAAATGTAAAAGAAATTGCATAAGGTCTAAGGTGTACACTGTTTAAATAATTTAAAAGCAGTCTCATTAAAATCAGACCGTTACTCGTCGCTATGCCTTCCTAGCGAGGGGCAGTGTAGCGACAGTTAAGATATGATTTTAATGAGATTGGTTAAAACGTAATTTAATATTTTACAGTAATTACGATGTTTTTTTTTCTCTTTTAAACAATTTTTTTGTTTGTTATTTTTTTTTTGGTTTCGTCATACCTTTGTATGCGATATAATCATGGAAAATTTCGCTTTAAAATGATCTGCATCACGATAATGCAAAGATAACAGCTTAAATATTACAGTATATATATAAGTTATAGTATTCACACGTAAAATTAAGTATCGCGCGATCATTTAGGCCACTTAGAATATTTAGAACTACATGCCAGTTTAACAAAATTATAATTATTGTCTTAAACAGTTTTTCAACTCTACTGTTTCGATTTTCATTTGAAACATTCAAGTTACTTCATTACATGCTTAGATGCGTAACGCAGATAAAAAATATTGGTACGCCAACTTTCTAATGTCGGTGAAAATAAATGGATTGGAACATGACGTGCTTATATGGCTATACACTGTGCTCGTTGTATATGTATGTTTTATATGTGTAGACTACTTATATTAAATAGTATGTCATTGTATGCAGAATTATGCAGTTTATTTCTTTACTCAATAAAATAAGACAGTAGAAAATAAGACAATAGAAATAACTTTGTATATTGATATATTCTGTGGATATTCTTTTACAGTACATGTACATACATTAAATAAAGAAAAAATACGTTCCATATGGCTATAACTCCCTTCCTTCCATTATGCTACAAACGCCAAATGCAGAGAATATTTAATTTTGGATATAAATATAACAATATAAAATAAATGTTTAGTTTTTACCGATTTTGATTTTTGTCTAATGATAATTGTAATATATTGGACATTTTCTTTCATTATGGATTTTGACGAGGATTATAAGCAATATAACATTGACTCGTAGAGAATAATGCAATGCGAATGACTGATTCTGTGTATGTCTTCGGACTTTAATTTCAATGTATTTGTAGACAAATTAATAAATGATTTATTTCCGTTTCAGCGAAAGCAAATTAATCGAAATCGGGTTGCCCAATGAACAGTCCAAAGCTCTAAATTTAAGCCAATCGGACGCTTCCGTTCAAAGACGATTTTTGTTGTTATAGTTTCCACCTCTGTATTAGGTAAAAGGTATTTAATGTTAGTGTCAATTGAACTTAAACACACGTATTTTGTCATTAAGACTAATAAAGATTACGAGGTCTTAAGGTACACTCTAGTGGAATAGGACTGAATAGTATTTCAAAATGGACTTTATATCATGAGTGCGGGGTGCAGAAAATGAACTTTAAAAGAAAAATATATTTAATATCTATACGTTGAATGACACGTTGTCTTACAGTTTTGTGGACCTTACCTACATGTACTTTGCTAGTTTTGTATTTCATTCTTGACCCCTTATGTGCAGTTAAACATGTACGGATGTCAAATGCTCATCTATGCTCATATTATCAACTATTTAAGGAGTTCTTTTTCATGTAATACGAATCCCACTTTGAAGAAAGCCTCGATAAGCTACTTTCTTATCAGTGATATGACTTAATTTTCATTGTTCTTTGCTGTTTTGGAAATGGGATGTAAGTTTTTTTACCTTATTTTTAACTGCAAAAGTGAAAAAAAATCAATAAAAAAAATCAATAAATAATGCAGAAAACTAAACAAATAAACGAATAATTGGCATCCATGTATTAAAAACTTTTGACGTTTGCATAAATGATTTGCTGAAATAAATGTTGTTTAATGTTGAACATTTATAATATGGTTTTACATTGTCTGAGAGGTTTAACCACTGTTCAAGGCAATTGTGTATAATATTTTTAACATAGATATCGACAGTGCAAATAGCTTTGCTGCTTTATTAATACCGTACTTAAATCCTACGGAATTTATCTCAATCTAGGTCATATTTATGTAAAACATTTATATGTTTCGTTTTATTTATTATCATTTTCTATAGGGATACTGTGTTGCATGGTCATCCTTTTAGCCAAAGGTAAGTTTGAAACTCTAATCTGTAATATATATATATATATTATATATATATATATATATATATAATATATATATATATATATATATATATATATATATATATATATATATATATATATATATATATAATATCAATTATCAATATATCCCCTGCCCATATTTTGTGCTCGCCAAAATTTACAAACCATAAACGTCTTCGTGTAACAAAGGAAAAGTACGTTGAGTATGATATTTAATTATTTTCTCCAATTGTTAATCATAATTCAGTTTCTGATAAAAAGGGAAATTCAGGAAGAAAATGGATCAAAGGCGAAATTTTAATAGGTCTTTTATTTTCATCTTTGCATGCAATTGTTGCTGAAACACAATGAAAAAAAATTCTACATATAAAACGGATGATTGCAAGATTAACCTTCATAGCGCGTTGCTTTAGTTCTATAAATATTTTATTATCGCTATAAGTGGCAGTATAGGCCTCGTTATTGTTAGTCATTTTCAGTCATATAATATATTATGCTATCATTTAAAGACAATTTTTACACAGGTAACAACGGACTCCTATGTTACTCATGTAAAGACGTGTCGAAAAATGAAACATGTCTAAATGTGACACAATGTCCCACTGCAGAGGTGTTTACTTTGTCGTATATTACCTGAAATAAAAATAGCTTAAAACTAAAATTTAAAATTAAAAGAAAACACAATCCAAGCATTTGATGAGATGACTAGATATCTTTAAGATGTGAATACCCCATAGGAATTACATACATGATTAATTAATGTTTAGTGCTTCAGTGCATGCATACTTGAACAATCCTGGTATATTATGCCACAGGTATTATTGTTATTGTTTTTCACTGTTAAAATACAAAAAAACTACTTATATATGTTATTTGTATCATCGTTTATGGACCTTTCTGTTGAAAATATGTCAGCTTTAAATCGTATACATAAACATGCACAGTGCTTTAACTTGTGTGCAGGTATTAGTTACCCGCACTCCAGAGCATGCCAATTGATTGACTCATTTTTGCTGGGGTTTACTTATTGTGACAGCAAAGAAAGGGAAAGCGATAGAAATATCATATTCAGATGCTCGTTCATAGGTTACTTTTTTCTGGGGGTTCATATTGTGACAGCAGGGAATGTATTTTAATGGTTGACTATGATACAAAAGAGAAAGAACATCAAAACACTAGGCAATCTGATTGATAGTCGTCTATACAATTTCTGCTCGTTTGTACACAGGTATGTTACGGAAGAGCCGACGGTTTTCATACTGGTGAAGTAAAACACACGTTTGGCTGCACAAGGGGCTTGGTAAAATATAATTTATTGCTTTGCATAAAAATATCAAATGGTATCGCAAATATGCTTAACAAATATAAACATTATGCATCTATATTAGCTCTGTCATAATTCTTATTTTAGAATGTATGTTTATTTAGCCAAAATCGAATCTACCCAAAAAAAGTTTTTATCTTAGTATATGTCAGTTGCATTTGGCTGTATGGCATTTTTTAAGAAAACAAAATACCGAAGTGTTTATGATTACCCAATTACAATACTCCAGAAGGAGATGTTTCGGTAGGACATTTTCCCAAACAAAACAAATTTAAAGAAATTGATATATATTTGCTTTTCATTGCATGTTTTCTAATTACCATTAGATGACAAAAATATAATCATATTTTCTCTCGAGTTATAGCATAAACTGAAAAATATCGGCGATTATGTCAAAATTGATATCAGTTATATTATATAGAGCGAAAACGACAAATATGTTTCAGTCAGTAAAAACCGGTATCTGTGGGACATCTTTATATTCACATAATAATTGTCTAGATATAATTCTGAATATTTGTGCTAAAAGTAAGAATTGGATAGGTAGAGAGATACGTAGGTGGGTGGGTAGGTAGGTAGGTAGGTAGGTGCGTTTACACTAAAAAGTATATATTTATTTGCAAACATTTCTTAATTCATTTTTTTCATTCTTAAACGGAGTATCTTCATTGAAAATGAAACTCCTCAGAAAAGAAGTTCTGCTGTAGGCATCTAGTACCTTAAGTCTCTCATTTGATGAATGTTTATGATAACACATCTGCTACTTCCCAGGCACTCCGTGAGTGATTTTGTAACAAGACATTTTTTTTTTATCTCAGTGCTCTTAAGCGACCTATAACAATCCTATTTAAAGAAACCTTTTAGACTGTGTAGATAATGTTTTATCATGTATTTTTGTATTTTCTGATCGAAGACCAGTAAAATACAAAGCGGACATTCAATATCTGACACATACTTTCACGACAGACCTAACAACAAATAGTTCTCAAAACAGCTTAAAACTAGTGATTTGAAAGAAAGAAATGTTTTTATTTCGTTACAAGTATCCAACAAATTACAACGCATTCAAAGTTTAAAAGTAGCGTCGGCTTATAGAATTGTCAATAAATACACAATCATAAATTACGCGGATGAATATGATTTTAATCAATGAAAAATGATATTTTTAGCGATGTCATTTACCGAATACTAGTACATGTATATAGATTTTACATGTCGGACTGTTTGGGCGAGAAAATTTTCGCTAAAGGTTTATCCTGAACAAAATACCTCGACGAAATAAATAAGGATTACAAACCCGGAATGCAAATGAAGTTCTAAATTTAGAATCACTTGGTTTTATCCAGGCGTTGTATGTATAGTAGGGGTAACGCGCTCGTTTCTGTGTGAGAGATCTGAAGTTCAAATCCCACTCGAGGCAATTTTTTTAAAATTCTTTTTTTAAGTGTCTGTTAAAGAAGTAGCCATAATATGCAAGGATAAAGTGTGACTGTCATAAAAAATGAATATAAATGATTTTTTGATGCAACATGCAACTCTAGTTGTGCAAAATTCGTTATGTATCAAACTCTGGTGCCTAGCAAGATGAACAGGAAAATGCATACAGATATACAGTACGATTTAGATTACAAAGATCAGAGAATACCACAGAGCTTGCAGCCCTTTGATTTGTCTTGATGGTGATGTTAATTTACGAAGTTTATGAAGATATGTCCCTCCCACATGGCCTTCACGTCGCATACGCTTCGTTACTGTGTTTGTTCACTAAATTATTTGTTCTATCTAGAACTTCGTTTTTCTTTTTTATTATTTAAATTTACCGACAAGGGAGCATTAGTATAGCGCAAAATTAAGTCGGCCAAAATGATGACTCTCTTAAGACCTAAAAGTATACTATAAAAGTTAAGTTATTCTATATATAACTATATGCTATTGTAATTACAATGTAGCTTAGTAACTATAATGAACCCTTTCTACGATCTGTTCTCCCTATTCTTCTCTGTAGCTTTCTTTTTATCGGTAATAATCAGATTCCCAACGATATTGATAATGTTTTTGGCATTAATCGATCGTTTAACCTTCATCATCAAGGCACTGCTCGTTATGCTGTGCGATAAACCTACTTGTAGTTGTCCGGAACGGAACAGCTGTGACATGATTTCAACAAAAATTGCCAGATATTTTCTATATATAATTTCCCAATTAGAAATGAATTTTACTGACGTTCTTACAGCCAGCTTTAAAGCCATACTTTCATTAAATAAGACGTAGCTCTGTGCATTGATGTTTTTCTCCACTTGTTGTTCAATAAAACTAAATATAAAAATATATCATGGTATCTGTTTCATTAAGATACGATTTTTCTTTATCTGATTGTGTAGGCTGTGCCAATGCCAGTTGGAAACACAACACTCTCATTTTGCAGCTCCCTCTGCCATGAGAACTTTTGTAATTTGAATGAATGCCGTTCAGGTACATATAAAACTATCAATATTTAACACAGATATCATGAATACTACATCTCATGAATACTATAAACATGTTTATCATGAATACTATATCTCATGAATTATATAAATGATGAATAATATATCTCATGAATACTTTATCTCATGAATACTATATGTCATGAATACTATATATCATGAATAATATATATGATGAATACTATATCTCATGAATTCCATAAATGATGTATACTACATCTCATGAATACTTTATCTCAGGAATACTATATATATATCATGAATTCTATATATCATAAATACTAAATCTCATGAATACTATATCTCATGAATACTATATAATTATATAATGTATTATATATATTATGAATACTATATCTCATGAACACTGTATATCATGAATAAAATATATCATGAACACTTTATCTCATGAATACTTTATCTCATGAATACTAGATATCATGAATACGATATGTTATATATACTATAGATCATTAATTACTTTATATCATGAATAATATATATCACGAAAAATATATATCGTGAATAATATATATCACGAATACTGTATATCATGAATAATATATATCATGAATACTATGTTAAATAAAGGGCATTCATCTGAGAACAACAATTTATTTTAAAGATGTTGGGGAAAGGTTGTTTTTATGACAACATTTCTTTATAGAAATATAAAATACTAGTACAAACGCTCTACAAATTCTACCCACTCATTTCATTTTATTCAGAAGTTTAGATTTATGTATTTATGTTCGATTTGTGTCAATTGAATGAACTTATTTCATAGGCGATTGTTGTTAAAAGCAATCATAAGCAAGTTTGTAGCAACAAAAAAAATGCAAAAACACATATAACTGAAATAAATGTTTAATTACTAGAAGAAAATCGAGATAACCTTCAATTTTTAAACGGGTAACATCAATATACGTTGAGATGTTTATCTTTGGTTTTGGTTGTTTAATAAAATGTTTGCAAAGTTGCAAGGGAAATTTTCTTGAAGGAGGGGTCAGATTTTTTTCAACTTTTTTTTTTTTAAAGTATTCACCAAATTTACAATACAAAAATTTTTATCGCCTTTTACATTCACAGCAAAAATGTAATAAATTCTTAAAAAAACCCTTCTGAAGACAAAATGTGTTTTTTGATTTTTACGAATTTTTTTTATCATCATAACTTTTTAAGGGAGTGTATTTTTTTCTATAGAACCCTAGTGAAAATAAAACATTTGAAAATCAAATCCCGTTTTGGCTGGGAGACATAAAGGTATTCAGGGAGTATTGGGTCCTATATTGTTGATTATTATAAAAAGTTGTTATATTTTCTAATTTGCGTTATGAAACTAAAATTTGTTCCGAATTGGGTCGAAGTTATCGTCATTGGTTTCTATAAAGCAACAGGAATTACAATTGACTAATTAAGAAAAGTTTTGTATTGAAAAATAAACCAATAATCATCATTCCATGTTTTGTTCACCAATTTTTAATGTTATATATCATATTTGAAATAATAAGTTTTTTGCTAGGATTGCAGTTTAAGAAGGATAAGCACTTCACAAATAATAGGCAAGAGAACTGCAGTGCAAAATTGTTCGGTTTGCTGCAAGACTAATTATTGTAATTTAGACGCATGTAGTGCAAATATGTCAGGTAGTAACATGAAATTTATACTACATATCTTATGTTAACCAATAACCTCCATTGTTATAGTTATAATGTTTTAACGTTTCATGTTTTTAATAAAATTTATACTTTATTTGCTATAGTCTCCATAGTCTTAATTTAGAAGAACTGTATTATATAAACATACTTAAGGGAAACAAGAAATAAATATTGAAAAAAAAGATTGAGATTGGATCGGCCTGAGCAGTTAAATGCTGTGTTATCACCACCGATCAGATCAACACGATCAAGCACGATCAAGCGATCGGGTACCGGTCTAGCTCGGTCTCGGTCTGCATGCGTGATCGGGAGTGGTCTACCTTGGTCGGCATGGCTCGGGCTTCCTACCCGAATTTGTTTGACATGTCAAAAAAATTTGAGTAGCGATCGAGTAGATAAGCGGTCGAGAAGCGATCAGTCTAGTTAAAATCGTGTATGACCGGCGTATAGGTTTGGGTGATTCATTTTAGTCCATTTTGTTATTATGTGATATTAAATTATTCGCTTTGATTAACTAAAGGCAGGCGATGGAAACATATTGTTAATTGTATATATCGCCGTATATAGGAACGGCAATAATTATTTATAATTTTAAAAAATGAACATCCCTCGCACATTGTAAGATTTTTTGCCTGTGGACATTACAATGTTGTTGTTCGCAAAGTACGGACCTTTTATTTCAAATATTTTTGACAGACACTTTGTCAAAACTAGTATGTTTCGGACCATTATCTTTCGATATTATGATGCAACAATTGACCTTTGATCGCCGTTACAGGCAACGAAACTTCCCCTCACAGGAAAGCGCTAACATACTAATGTCCGGTTCTCTGTATTTTTTTCTGATATTTCCCAATAATTGCGCCTAAAAATTAGGTCAGCAAGTATGCATTGTAGTATACAGATGAAGAAGCAACTATGAAATAAAATAGAGGATATTGAATGAGTGTAAGTTCAATATTGAATTTATTGCACGAGTTGAATAAAATTATATTATGTGAGTCTCTGGCGAGCATAATATTATTTTATTCAACAAGTGCAATCGAGCATAATATTATTTTATTCAATAATTGCAATGAATTTATTGCACGAGTTGAATAAAATTATATTATGCGAGCCTTATTATTTTATTCAACAAGTGCAATAAATTCAGTTATGAACTTACACGAATTTAATATTCTATTTATCATATACCCAAAATCAAGACTGTTTAAAGTAAAAGAAGAGTCATTTTTCATTGACGCGCCTATGGTACCCGAGTTCCATTTCGATGTTCTTTTAAATTATTAGGATGATATTTTATACTTTATCACTCTGAAATAGACGAAATGTATTATTGCAAAATCTGCACTGACCAGTATTGCTGTTAAGCCAGCTTCCCCCTCTCTCTCTATATATATGAAGCCCCAAAAGGGATATGCGGTTGATGAAATTACTTTATATTCCAGCAGATAAAGCAATCTCACAAGACTAACTGTAAGTTCGCAAAATTTCGTCTATCAATTTTATTTATTTAATTTTATAATTTATAATGAAGCATTACAAAAAGGTGAGTTGTTCCCATATTAAAAAACTTTATATATTTGTTTTAATTCCTTACAGATCATTTTGGTTGGACAGATTGGGGGTCTTATTCTGGTTGTTCTCAAACATGCAGTTTTGGCACAAAGACACGGACAAGGGAATGTTATCATCGTCTTGGTATAAGCATGAATAAGACATGTGTTGGAAATGCAACCGAGCAACAACAATGCTACATAATAATGAACTGTCCTCCAGGTATTATCAAAACATTTATCGAATTTTGATAAAATTTAAAACGTTTAAGTGTAATTTCAGATATTCATAAGATATTTAGTTTGTGAGTAATATAGTTGACACTTATAGTTACTTAATTGTTTAAATCTTTTATTGACAAATAATCACAGTTAAGACTAACATTATTTTATACACATGCTAGGGGTATTGAAGGTTATTACCATTAACTACAGTCCATGGACATGTTCAATCAAACCGAGTAATCAAGATCTTCAGTTGAACCTTGTGTTTTCTACATTAATTTATTTCAGACCATTTGTCTGATATTAATATTTCATGGTACTAAATAACATGCTTGATTAATCAATTTTTAATCAATATCATTGAAAGTAATCGAGGTATCTTTTTTGCCAGTGAATGGAGGATGGTGCTATTCTTTTAAGTATCCTCTCTGTAGTGGCTACAATGCTGCAAGGGCTGGCGCTTGTAAAAACCCATATTTAATCAACTTGGGATGTGGTTGTCCGCCACCACAATACGGCGGTTCACCTTGTCGATGATGTAGAACATAAAGATTGGCATTAAATATATTTTATCACACTATTTCATTATGTTGACTTGCTTGATTCCTCAAATGATTGAACCCGAATAATCTTTGATAATATAATTTGTCACGAACCTACTTTTATTCCTTTTTTCTTTTTAGGCATGTACATTGATAATTATTATATTGTTAATATTGATGTTAATCTTGATCTCTGAATTTAGAAGTCCAGTACCAGCTGTTATTAATGGGTGGCATGATTAATAATCTTTTCATAGATAAAAACATTCGATGGCCTATAACATTTAACATTATTCAATATTATAAATGTGGATGTGGCGTTAGAGGAAATTATTCAGTACGGTTTTATGAATGTTGTCAAACTCCATGGATATGTACAAATAAGCAATACTAAAAGTAAATGGCAAGGTAACATGTTTAATTTGTATTTAAATGAATACAGTCCATTCATGCGTAAATTGGTACATCGATCGCGGACCAAATTCCAGATATATTATGCAATCTTTTTGCTGACGATGAAGCAAACTGTGCTAGCAAACTGTGCTGATACTGCAAATTTCAGTCTCAGTTAAATTAATTTGTTTTGAATTTGGTTACATTGCGGCATGTCTTTAAAAGGGCTCAAGATTAAATAATTGTATTTAGATTATGCGGACCGCTCAGAGCATATGAACAACGAGTTATTCAACGGAAGTTTGTTAAATGCATATATGAGTCTTATATTTACACCTAAATTATCGTTGACGGTAGCAAAATGTATATTATATCAATAAAATTCTGGCAAGTCCTTACACTCTAACATGATTATTTCAATAATTTGCCTGTCGGTAAAACTTGCCTATACTTGCCTATGGTACTGAAATTTAAGGAAGTATAGTCTCCGAAATGTTTATCAACTTTACAGATTTCAAGGCACAAATCATTTAAAAAATTTGCACTGGGAGAGTGCAGAAGGATAAACATCATTAGATATGGGTGTAAACTACTTTGTTATGCCAAAACATAGATATCCTAGAAATTGTTATTTAATGTAAACTAGTTAGGGTTATAGGGTTAGTCAAAATGTTTGGGATATCAACCTATTTATTTATAAATTTAAACAAAGGATAATTGATTAGAGAGAACATTTCATGAAAAAGATTCAAAATTTCAATCCTGTTTAATTTTCAAATCCATGTTGAATCCATAATTTTTTTGTCTCTTATTTGCAATTTTATGTAAAGAAATGTACGAGAAGCAGATTTAGATGTTCGTATCATTAATTACAAACATTTAAAGAAACCGGACGACCTTATTTTGGATATACATGTACGAATTTGTCAAAAACTGTTATTTTTTCAACAAAGATAATGCCGCGGTGTAGTGGTAAGCAAACTTGACCGGCAACTCAGAGACCCGTGGTTCGAGGCCCGACTGTGACTTGCCGATTTTTCGTGTGATTTGTCATTGTATAATTTCCTTCTCGTGACTTTTTCACATACATGTCAATAGTAATAGTACATGAAACGAGTTAGTTACGAGGATATAACACTGACTGGGGCGACATCAAGGGTGTTTCTGCTAAAATATAAGCGAGGCTGTAAGGCCGAGGCAATTTTTTCTTAAGGAAACTTGTTGCCCATAAGCCAGTGTTATACCCCCGTAACTAACGAGTTTCATATACTATAACTGTTTTATCGCAATGACATAATTATTTTTGTTATAGAAACAAATAAATAAATAAATCGTTAGCTACATTAAAGTTAATTATTTATGATAAGGCAGTTTTTTCAAGTTGTTTTCGCTACCGAAAAAATATACAAAAGACCTCCACTTAATGAGTTGGATTGTAAACTGTTGCCAAGCTTGATTCAAGATTTAAGGGCTTTTTGTCAGTGGAAATAATTCATTCAGCGGATGTACCTTTTGATTAAATGAGAGTAAACTTATGTCATTAATTATCTTTATTTATATTTTTTATAATATTTTTATATCATTTTATTCTATTTTATTGATTCTATTTTTTTATTTTTTTTTGCTACTGGGAAATGGTCGTTACCACTGCCCCAATTTGGAGCCTCAATGAAAAAAGCAAGAGTCGGTTGAACCGGGTGATGCTCCCCGAATAGGTTTTGGACACAGGAAGGTATACCTTTTGTAGTGTCAGAGTTATGTCACAGACAAAGTTCAAAGTGTAAAAACAACCCAAATCACCATACCAATTTTAAAGTTCCTAGGCCTAAGCGTTCTTTAATTATTGCTCAGAAACCGTTTTTACTGACATGGTCAATGTGACATTGACCTTTGACCTCTTGACCCCAAAATCAATAGGGATCATCTGCTAGTCATGACCAATCACCATACCAAGTTTGAAGTTCCTAGGCCTCAGCATTCTTTACTTAATGATCGGAAACTGTTTTTACCTACAAGGTCAATGTGACATTGACCGTTGACCCCTTGACCCAAAAATCAATAGGGGTCATCTGTTTGTCATGACCAATCACCATACAAAGTTTGAAGTTCCTAAGCCTAAGCGCTCTTTAGTTATTGATCGGAAACCGTTTTTATCTACATGGTCAATGTGACCTTGACATTTGACCCCTTGACCCAAAAATCAATAGGGGTCATCTGCTGGTCATGATTAATCACCATACCAAGTTTGAAGTTCCTAGGCCTAAGCGTTGTTTAGTTATTGATCGGAAACCGTTTTTACCTACAAGGTCAATAAGACCTTGACCTTTGACCCCTTGACCCGAAAATCAAAGGGGGTTATCTGCTGGTCATGACCAATCACCATACTAAGTTTGAAATGCCTAGGCCTAAGCGTTCTTTAGTTATTGATCGGAATCCGAATTTGGGACATACGGACGGACTTACGGACGGACGGACAACCCGACGACTATATGTTCTCCCGAAATTTTTCAGGGAGCATAAAAACTGCATTGATATATACATTGAAATATACGAAGTGCAAAAAAAAAAAAAAAAAACTCAACCGATATACAACAGTCGAGTTTTTTTCCTATATGAATCAATGAAAAAACTCTACTTTTATGTATCAATACAGTTTTCAAATGCTCATTAAAGTGTACCGAGTAAGAACAAAGGAAAAGTTCCAAACCATTCGATAAATACATATATCACCATCGTATTATCGCATTTTCACCATTGTACCATCGTGAATCGCGGGTACAGACAAAATAAAAAATCAGTATTGTCCAAACGGAACACCGTACAGGACCAGACTGAATATTTCAAACTGCACACGCTCCATGAATACTGGTAATCCATCACTCCACTGTGAATAAAAATAAAATTTTCTTTGTTTAAACAAAGTGCATAAGAAGAAAATTATTTCCCCTGGTTTTGTTCCCGTCGGATCACATGAGGGCGCTATTCGCGCCAAAATCAGAACGTGATATTCGGAATAGCGTTGCAAATTCATTCAGCGCTTGGTTAATTGACTGTCAACATGTCCGAAGAAGAAAATTCAATTCCTTTTCAACCTACCGATAACGGTTCAACTCTACAGGCTCAATTAGCTGAGATATCAACACAGCTTTCTTTACAAAGGCCAGACGTAACAGAATTGAGAGCAGAGGTACGTGGCAAGAATATTTCCGTCGGCAAAGAGGTGAAGAAAATCAAATCGGACATTGATATTACCTGGAAACGACAAGGTAACAAAGTTCAGTATACCTTTAACAGTGATATTATCGACTAACTGAATCAAGCCATTTGGGAAATTGACAATAACAAATACGCCTACTGCCGAGATATCATTTCCGAGACTTTGGACAAAGAGAAGCATCGTCAAAAGCTTATACGTATTGCAGATACGTCCGAAGCAGGCTGGGAAACGGTTAATTGCTATACCGCTAATCCACTGGCAAGCGATTCGAGGATTGAAACTAAACTCCGCAAAGCTGAGAATCAGGCTCTCAAGAAACGCAAATCAAAAACATCTAAACGTCTCCAGTCTTCTCGCAAAGTGCCACCGTCTTCTACCGTCACTTCCGGTGCAATTTTCAATAATCCTACTGCTTTTCGCAGTAATGCAGACGACATCTATCCGGTCCTGCCTGCTAGGGGAACAAGACCTTTTCGAGGCTTCAACAGTTTCACATCAAAGTCTTCAACTTACGGATCATGTTTCTCCTGCGGTTCGTTCGATCAATTCAGGCGCTTCTGTCCCTATGTCAACAGTCCCACCGACGATAGATCAGCACGGTTTCCAGCCCAGAAGCAATGAAAATCCGGGTCACTTACCTATGGAAGATGAGTATTATTCTCATATTATAAACTGTCATAATTCGCAATAAAATAATTTAACAAATAACTTTTTTGAATATGAATCTGGCCAAAAAGACATTATAGTACGTGGTCGATTGAAAAGTCATGTAGAATTCTGGATAAATATAGGTTCAAATTCTTTTGTTATAGATATAACCAAGTCGCTTGCAACACATTAAACATTATTTCATAACTAAATTGTTCTGTTGTTCATTCTATATATTTTGTAAAGATAATGGTTGTGATCATATTGTATCCGTCGGGGACGATTTGAGGGGACAATGTTTTTGATTGCCCGAAAACAACGCTTCTTAATACAACCGTCGTCATTCTTATGGAATCGTAAAAACTATTGTAAGCAATAAACAAACAATTCTAAATATAAACAATTTGGATGATTTTCATCACATATGTCTATTTGATGTTTTATACACTTACGTGTTAATTTGAATTTAACCTAATTTTTTTTAAATATGGCAGTCTTTTTCTTATGCAAATGGTGAACACAAAGGGAGGTAACCATATGTAGTATAAGTTACCTTTCCGTATATAATATTATATTCTTTTTTACTGTTGCTGTTAATATAGGGTTAACGCACGTTTTTTCGTGTTATAACGTCTGCAGAGTCCCGAGGAACGGTTGGTGTCCGAGCCCGGTAGGGCGAGGGCTCCAACAGTTCCGAGTGACTCTGCAGACTTTATAACACGAAATAAACGTGCGTTGACGCTAGTATAGCATAAAATTTAAAAAAAAAGATTCATGATG